CACGTTCTTTTTATGTACAAATAAATTATTATTATTATTATTATTATGTCTATGTGTGTGTATATATGGCACCCGCGACACAGGGTTTTCCCTAGTACGGGACTATAAATGTGTGCGTTGTGTACGTTATTATAAAATGATTTAACAACAGCGAAAAAAAACCTGTTTAATGGCTCCATCGTTTTCGTTCAGTAACAGGTGTCAATGTCAAATGTGGAAAATTAAAGGGAAAAAATTGGAAAACTGAACAAAATTATTTTTTTCCATGACCCAACACTAAATGTTCCTGTGTTTTGCACTGCTCAGTCCATATCAAATTACAGTACATTAAATGAGATAGAGTTAATAGGCTGTGGCGTAGAAAAGCAGACGTGACGAAACTGGACATAATGTCGTCCGAACCATTCTTCGCTATGATCTAACGTCGTCTAACGTGGCCGATTTTTGGATTCGAAGAGTCAATTGTAATAAATAGTCGCTGCAGCCCACCAAATTAACGGTCTAGACCCATCCTCTAAGGTCTAGACGGAAGGCAGTGAGTGAATCAGCCAACCAAGCGGTGTGTTACGCTCACGTTACGCTATACGAACTATTTCAAGTTATTTTCTAAAATTTTAATTTCTACAGTTATATTCTTCTTCTTCTTTCTAGAACTTCAATGAAAATAACAAATAGAAATATGTAATAATATGGACGAAGTGCATATTTACAATATCATACCAAAATATGTATATTATGTATCTACCTTTACAATTACGACGCACTCGACTTACGAGCTACAGCGACGCCTTCTGTGCATATTGTAATAGCAAGCCAAGGCAACTGCGTCATGAAAGTGTCAGCGGTGTTTCGCTTTTGCTCGCAACCTTATAACCGTAAAAAGTAGTTTGCTGTAAAGCTCTACTAGATACCTTTTTCGTTAACACCGTTGGCTCTAAAACAACTCAATCACAGCGAAAAGAAAAAGCCTGCACTTTACATTAATTGGTCTCCACGCAATCGTGAACTGCGTTTATTTTAGCTTCACGCAATTCAATTTATTACTCAATTTTCCTTATCGGTTCCCTAGTAGGTACAACTGACTGGTCACACTTCGATATAAGGAGGAAGGTAAGTTTTATTATAAACTGCGATGAGTAAGCGAATTAAAACGGGACTCGGTGGTTTACAGTATTCAAAACAGCCAAACGCTCAAGTCGTGTGTTGTGGAGAGCGACCCACTGCTGCTGCAGAACATTGACGAATACCATGGGTGCCAGGAGAGACGTGGCGCGTGCAGTGCTGCTGCACGTTAACCTGATGCTGGCGGTAGGAGTGGCCTATCCACTTGTGGTATAAAAAAGCGTAGTTGACTTCGCATCTGAGCCGTGTACCTGCTACAGACGTACGGTGGCGCGGCACTCGTGACAGGCTCGCTGATATACTGGTATGGTGTGCTGTCCGAGCGCACGTCAGTGGGGCGGCCTACCGCGTTGGCGCTGGGCGCGAGCGGTGTGGCGCTGCTGTTGTTGGCGCACGCAGGCGTCGTTGCAGTACGTCGCAAACCGCTGCTCTTGGTAAGTAAAGTGCACTTCGCGTGGAGGGACAACGAGCGCGCACTGACGCCGCGTGTTTTGCAGTTCGCTTTGGGATCGTGGGCAACAGCGTTGGGGACGCTCGGTGCGGCCGGCTGGCTGGCGTGGCGCAGCACGCGTCTCGACGTCTGCGATCACTCCACGGTCAAGCCACACTTGTGCGCTCTACTGTTTATGCTAATCGTCGACAAGAAAAACCAGCTGCTTTTAGTGAGTGTCCATCGTGTGATCCCGCTTGAGATAGTCGCTTACTTACGAGTATAACACGACTTGTACCAAATACTGCTTATACCTATGTAAAGCGGTCCAATTCAGAGTTTACGTCCAGGTAGTCGTTTGCCAAATGGAAAAACTTTCAAGCTGCCACTCTGTAGAACAAATGTCGGCCAGTATTCTCCTTTATATTATATAGATAATTTTCTTATTGCAACGGAATGAGGCTAAAATTGGATGTATTTTTGGGTTCTATTTTTCTTTTACGTAGGTATAGGTATTTATATTTATTGGACGTATGTTATTATTATTATTGTGATGATGATGTATGTTGTGTTTACTAATATAAGGAACTACACTGCATAGTATGTATATATGAGCCTGTTATGTGTATGTATTGTGCATGTTTCAAGTTCTGAACCAAATTTGTAAATTTAAAAAAATTAAGAACTTCTGGCATGTAGGCAGGTATCCATTACTTTTTGGCAAAGACAGTAAGGCGAAATGCTTTACGTACGATTAACATGTAGTTAACTCGTATTGTCATCTCTCGAGGTGCACCTATATAGTTAGTAGACGCTGTCGTCTCTGTCAGACTCAAATTTCATTATTTTTGACAAGCAACCAGTTCAGGGATCACACGATACTCACATATGGGCTCATTCGGGTTCCGTTGCAACTTTAAACCGACTCCGGGTTCAGATAACATCACATCAGAACATAACATCTTGTTACGTCTTCATTTTTAAGGATTGTTTAAAAAACGAACAATAGTATTGCGTTATTTTACGTGTAGTTTGAAAAACCAGCATACATAGTATTATTATAGTTCTTTGAACAGATCTTCAACAGATCTGCATTAACAGGTCCTCCAGGGCAGACGTGGGTTGATACCGAGGCCGGTCCACGAAACATGTATCAACTATCTAAGTAATATAAGTGCAGAAATTCAAACATCATCATGTATTTTTTTCGCTGTAAGTAAGCTGTAAGTAAAAGGGTCATTGCGTCCAAGTTAACGATTTTTGAAGCAGAATGCGAAGAAGATGGATGACGCGAAGCTAGAAATACTCGCGTGCGTGTCCGCCGCGTTGTTGGTGCTGCTTGTACTTCTGCTGCTGCTCGCCGGCGTGATGGCGCTCTGCGCCCGCCCTGCGCTACGACTTGCCTCGGACCCCACACATTCCATGTTCAGGCACGTCCCTTTATCATAATGTTGCCATGAAACTGACAGCATGAATGTTCCCCTGACGTCGAATCCCTTTACGACGTCTTTGGTATAGTACAGTCGAAACAAAAACGAAAACCGCTGAATAATGTTCAAAATAATTAATTTTCTGCTGCCAAGTAGTAGGTAATGTGAGCGTTACTGTGTTCCGGTTTTGAAGGGTATTGCTTGCGAAATTACAGGCATATGGGACTTGTTAAATTATGTCTCAGGGTGTCGAGCGCCGTGGCAGTGCGCCTCAGATCTTTGCGATTAAAAGCTCAGAGTGGCACTGCACGACTTGTGCGTCGCCTCACTAGGTATTATTAAAGAAACATCATTATTCGTATAATTTAAGTAATTTCACATTCATACGGTCACTACAAGCATTCAGATGTAAGAAAATTACAAAATATGTAATTATTAGTAAAAATTATAAAATATGTAATGATTAGTAATTAATTACATCTATTTATTTGCTGACTTTCATTGAAATCGGTTAATTCCGGAAAGTGGGTGAAGTCCAATAAACCGGACTCATCCCCTAATTGGCCACCCTTAAAGGTAATATTTTCTTCAAATTTACATGAGGCCACTAAGGCCACTGAGGTGCCCCCTTTCCAACAAGAGTAATCGCATAAAAAAGTACAATCCCATTGAGAACCTGCACCTTTTTTGGAGTCGGTTAAAAATGAGGCACACCTTATTTGGACGTAGAGCGAATGAATGCGAGATAATGCTAACGAGTTAACGTAAAGGGACTCGCCGCGCCGCCGTAAGAGCGACAATTCAAAACTATGACTGACTTCCTCGCGCAGAAGGAGCAGCAGCGTGTGCTACGAGGGGCGCGAGCCCCTGCCGCTGCCCTTTCGCCGGCCGTCGCCCGCGTCCCCTCCACTCTTCATGAATCACGCGTCGATGTCGGCGCCTCCGCCCGTCTGCTTCGAGTACCCCTACATGCAGTGATTCCAACTTCCATATTTGTAAATTTGTTCTCAAACAAATAGGGGAGAGCGGGGCAGAACGTTCCGATTTTCAAATAAGTTGAAATTTTATAATGAAAATGAAGGATTTGATTTTCAACATGTGGAAATATTGAACAAATGTTTATCGCTTTTTGTAATAGTATAGTCACTTCTACTAATATCTCAATAGTCTTTTTCATAGAGGCAAATTTTTAACAAATTTCGGAGCGGAACATTCAGCCCCGCTTTGGGGCGCGTTATTCCGCCTTTGAGGCAAATTGTTCCGCTTAGATTGTGACAGGATAGCAAACATTTTGTCAAATAAAACCACCTCTTTTAAAATTGTATGTATGTATGTAATGTTATAATGTAAATATTATGCACAACTAACTTAAAAAAAACAACTACATTCTTATTCATCAGTAATATTATTCATCGCTCATTTGTTCAACTGAATCACAGTTGAGGCACACATAAGTAATATCAAAGTAATAAGTAATGATCAACCGTGACAGTCAACCGTGACCATGGGACCTGTAAAGCGCCCGAAACGTTGGTTTGTTTGAAAAAACAAATATACGCGATTTAAATCCGGAAAAATAGGTTCATTTCCTAAATATATGTCTTACTAATTCAGTGTTTTATTACTTACTACACTCAACACCGTCCATTTTACAAAAGTAACTTCACCTATTCAACAACTTTCTATAAAGTAATTATAACTTTTTTCATTAAAAAAAGGAATCAACTCAAAGTTAGCTCCGCCTTCGCTGTGTTCGTTGCCGTGGTCCCTTCGACGATAACTATTTTCAGTATAACATGGAAATCCTCATCAAAACGAATCATATGAGTCCAAACGCAAGGTAGCTGCTGTACACTGTTGAGGAGTTCCTCTCATCTGCCTGCCATTCCCATCATCGGATGGGCTCTATGTATGTCACCATAATATTGTATTTTCATTAGAATTCCATCTACGTGCCAAGTTTTATTAAAATCGATTAACTAGTAGTGAAATTCAATAAACAAATTCATCCCCTAGTTCACCACCCTTAGAGGTGGAATATCTTCTTCAAATTTGAATGGGACCACTACAGAGAAACCCCCTTTTCAACAAAAAAAAGAATCATCGAAAACAGTTCACAATCGCGTAACATACAAAAACAGTCAATTGAGGACCTCCTCCTTTTTTGATGTCGGTTACAAAGGTGAGCATCACGAGCTTATGGAGAATCAAAGAGAAGATGGCCCATTTCTACGACACAACTACTCCAATAAAAACGAGGAAGTGTTAAAGCGTATAATTTTTTTTTATAATTAGAAAAGAACCGACTTAGTAAAGTATACCTTCACAAATGCGTAACGTAATCGCTTAACATGCACACAAAAAAGATACAATGAAATTGAGAACCTCCTCCTTTGTTTGAAGTCGGTTAAAAATAGTAAATTTTAGTGAATGGTAGAAGATTAGCCATTAGCATTGTGTGTATAAACGATAAATGTAACGCTAACTCAGAACAAGTGAAGCGCGCCTTCGAAAGTCACCGGCACAGGCGCCGGGCGCGGGGCGCGGGGCGCGGGGCGGACCTTGATAGCGCATCCGATAAGATACCAGTTGCCGAAACGTAACTCGTCACATACGCCTGGCACTTGCACATGGCGCCTTCGCCACCGCTGCGCTCGCACAGTGGAAAAGGTCGACGCCCTCGTTCGCCGAACCCACCGTCAACGCTCGACGGCGATTGCGGTGCTGAGGAGAGGCACCGATGGTGATGCGTGAGGGTCGGCGCTTGCGCATCTCGGCAGCATGTGCGGCGATGATGGCCTGCGCCACACCGCAGCCGCAGCACTGCCCCACATCAATCTACTACTAGCGGTGAATTTGCTTTCCGAGGGAGTCGCCGTAGATTGCACGTCCTTTTGACATAACGATGGCGATGGATGCAGGTGTACAGCGGTGCGGCACTGGCGATGAGTGCGCGACTCAAGTGGGATCCCAGCGCGTATGTGTTGCTGCGTGAGCTGCTGCCAATGGAGTACAACGCCGCGGCCGTGGCGCTGCCTACGTTGGCACTCTTGCTGTTGTTGCTGGGGCATCTCGCCCATGCTGCTACGCCCCCCAGTCGCAGGTTGCTTTACTCGGTGAGTGTAGGGAATAAGCCGTACTCTGTGCGGCAGACGGACGAATGTGATGGACAGAATGCGAATTTCAGTACGCGGCCTTGATGGTGGCACTTGTGGTGGCTGAGGTGACAATCGCGGTGTTGGCCTGGCGACGCGTGCACGAGTGGCTACGTTCGCCATCCGCCGTCGCGGCCGCGGAGATGCAGCGCGAGCTGGGCGAACACCTGTTGCCACTGCTGCGCGCACTCTCACGACTCTATCCGTTGCCCACCAAGCTAACCGATCTTATCGAGGTCAGTGTCCCGCTTACGGCACAAACACTTGCCCAGTGGAAGAGCTACATAGTGCTATGTAAATGCCAATGTTGCGACAGAGTTTTTTAAATACCTTTTTTTTTACGGGGGGGATATCTTTATGGATACCCCTGAGCCCATGGAGACTCAGGGGTTATGTGGGGACTCTCCCTCCACACTGGAAGGCCTACCCCACTAAAACCCCCCCGGGTTTCCCTCTCGCCGGTTGAGTCGGCGCCGTGAGATCAGTGAACATTCATCACGACGCCGCCCGGCCGCCCTAGCTTGCGCCAGGGCTCCTGCGCCAACGGAGGGACGAGTCGGTTGTCCTCCGACCCGCCCCCCAGACGAGTGAGGCCGTGCAATGCAGGCTCCGGAGTCCCTGTCCAGAGCCCGCTGGTCTCACTAGGGGATCAGTCGAGCAGCGAACTGCCTTCGCCTTCTCCCCTTTACGCCGGAGCAGGTGCGCGTCCGCCGCGTCCTCGCGCACCCGCTCCGCGGCCTCCTTTTGGGGCTCCCGGCCTTCCGAGGTTGGGCAGGAGCCTGCCCAACGCCGATGCGGCGCCCACTATTCGGGGAGCAAATTGCCGAAAATGCTCCCCGAAGTTCCATCGCCGGTCTAGGACAAGTCCCAAATATTTCATCTGGGACTTGACCGGGACCGATACTCCCGCGATGGAGATGTGGGCGCCTGCCGGCACCGCCCAACCTCTACCCCTCCCGCCGAAGACGGCCACATCCGTCTTCGGCACGGCGACCTCGAGCCCCAGCAGTTGTATTCGGCGGACCACCATGTCCGCCGCTACTGAGGCTCTTCGGGCCGCCTCCTGGAAGTTGGTCCCCCGGACGGCCACCAGCGTGTCATCGGCGTACGCGATGACCGCCGTCCGGGGGAGCAGCGCGCCCCTCAGCACCCAATCGTACCCCAGTTTTTTAAATACCTCACACATAACACAAAATTGCTTTCAACACGTACTTCTTTGCTTCATTTATTATTTCAATTAATTAATTATTTCATGACCATAAAGTACTGTCTTACTTAGGTAATTAATTTATTGTCCAGAATTTGGGCAGTTCCTGAAACAGGTGATGTATGAACTCCAGCGCACGCTATAAAGCGCTGCTGTACACATGGTACACAGGGATAAAAAATGACGGCACATATCATCACGAGTTGTCGTTCCTTGGGGTAAGTTTCGTGTTCGTAGTACAGTCTTATACTCTCCAGACTTAGTTACTGTGTCACTGCCTTTGGTCCGTGTCTGTTGGCCAGAACGCGGTATTTGTCTACTAGATGATGGAACAACATACTACCTACTTACAACATTTACAGCATACACCTACTACTAAATACTATCTTAAAAAAAACTGTTCAAGAAAAAGATGAAAGAACACCTATTAAATGTACAGAAATTGGGGCTGTAGGTGAGAAACCTGTTGCGTTTTCGACTATTTATTTATTTAATTATCAATAGTATATTTGTCCACGTTTACGTTTGCTTGAGATCTCTATGTGACGACATTTGCAGTGCAATGCGCGTTCGAAAACGGACGCTCCCTACGCAGTGAGTTAATCATTAATTATAACTCGCGTCTCGCGCGGCACAGGCCGCCGCTGCGCGTAATTGATAATGGGTTCCCAGCACCACATTGTCAATGAGCTCCTGGCGTTTATTCAACACGCTGCCGACACCATGGACGAAGTCAGCATTGTGCAGATTTGCAATTCGAATTTCAATGAGCATGAGATTTGCAGTGGCAAGATGCTGTTGTTCCAGAGCATCGGTAAAGCCGAATAGATGCCATCTCGCCGGAGGGATGGAGGCGTGAAGAGTCTCCAGGATAGCATCACACTCCTGAAGGAGACTGACCTGGACGAGACGTGCCCACATTCGTGGCGAAGGAGTTGCACAAGCTGCCCCCTGTCACGTTTGATCACGTTGATGTCACTAGGCTGCTGAAGGACATTACGTCCTTGAAGCCTAGCCGAATTACAATATAAATTAGAGGCTTCGGATAACACTGTAAGTGAATTGCGTGCCCAAGTTGCGTTATTAAGCAGCGCTGCTTCGGTATGTAGGTCGCCAGAAGCCTCTAATGTAAACAAGCGTCGTGGGCCGCAAAATGCATCCATTTGCAGTGTCGAGTCGGCACATTCGAATGTACCGATCACTGTTGCTACCGCGCTCCGCTGCCCGCCCCTCCGCCTCGGCGGAAACGTCACGCGTAAGTACGTCAACCCTTCTACATCTACACGTGCATACGCCGCTGAAGCCGCTTCAAGTAGCCGACCCGCCACTTAAACACGATCGGCGGCAGTCTACTAAGGGAAAAAGTAATCCCCGTGTGCCTGTCTCTGAAGTTGTAAAACTACAGAGGCAGATGGACCGGTGCGACGAGGATGGCTTCACAAAAGTGGAGAAGAAGAAGAAGAGGAAGCCCACCAGCCGTAACCAGTGTGGCACAGCACCGTCAGGACCGAACTTCCTGCTGCGTCCGGCCGCACCGACGACGCTACTGCACCTATCTGTCGCGGCTGCATTACTCCACGAAGTCTATAATAATAATAACGCACACACTCAACATAGCTCCGCACTAGGGAAACCCTCTGTCGCGGGTGCCATGGACACACACATAGACAACCACAAATTACACCCAAACTCACGAGAGAAATAAATGTAGGCCATACACATATTTCTCCCGGCCTGGGAATCGAACCCAGGACCTCTGCATGGCAGTCCGGCATGGTAACCGTTCGGCCACGGAGGCAGAAGTCTGAGGAGATAGTGGAGTATATCAGACATAAAGCCAAATACACCCTAAGGGTCGAGCGGTTGAAGTCTCACCACAATTAACTGCCTCCGTGGCCTAATGGTTACCATGCCGGACTGCCACGCAGAGGTCCCAGGTTCGATTCCCGGGCCGGGAGAAATAGTTGTATGGCCTACAATTATTTCTCTCGTGAGTTTGGATGTAATTTGTGGTTGTCTATGTGTGTGTCCATGGCACCCGCGACACAGGGTTTCCCTAGTGCGGGGCTATGTTGAGTGTGTGCGTTATTATTATTATTATTATAATGTGAATTTCAATTCGTTTGTGGTGAGAGTACCGACCGAATATCTGTCAACCTGCATGAAGGAAGAATTTTGGCCGAAGGGTGTCTTATATCGGCGGTCCGTTTACCTGACACCAGATTGCGCCACACGTCGCCGACAAGTGCAATTCGTGTAGATTAGTTAGCAATAGTGTTTTATTATATTGTATGTATGTTAGTCCTTAAGGTATATATTATGTGGGTCATGTGGCCTGAAATAGATAAAAAGAAATAAATAAAGAATTTATTGTCAGGGATGTTCATAAGTAATGTACACGCATACACCCATATACATACATACTGTACATATTGTACATAGTCTCAACGTAGCAGTTTAGTAACAGTAGAGCTCCTTGTGAAACAGTTCGTCCAGGTTAGTATTGCCACGTTACCTATGTCTGTCGCTAAGCGGTAATGTCAGCGTTTCTATTTCGGTTTTGATGGTAAGGGTGCTGGTGAAATTACAGGCACATGGGATTTGACAACTTACGATGCACGGCTTGTTCGTCCCCTTACTTGATGTTATATAAAAAAAACATACATTTTGAAATTTGGTTATAACTACCTTGTACTATACTATGTTGATATAAACGCGCACACTCACACACATACCACAAGCACGCACGCACGCACGCACGCTCTTTATTTAATTACACGAATGCTAAATTTATACTAATGCCAGAGGACTGTCTGAGATGATGAGTGTCGTCTCTTTAAACACGGTTCTGGCAGAATACCAGCGTCGTTGGAAACTGCAGCATTTATCCTGAGCCAGCGCCTTTTCACTGCCATGACTTTCGAAACTATTTACTTTAATTAGTTATATCTACAGTTATACGTTCCTTTTGTTATAATAATTTGTTATTTTAAGTGGTTTAATATAATAATCACAATTATTATTATATTAAACCAGTGGTAGTTTTAGTGGATCCTATGCAAATAAGCTGTCATGAAAGTGAATATACTTTTTATCTATCTAATATCTACCAATTTAATAATAAAACTATAATCAATAACAATGACTTATTTTTGCAATGATGACAACTTGTATTCTTCAAAATGTATTCTTCATCGAAATTTTGTACATTTTTTACAGGAATAAGTTGTTGTTGTTGAGTTGACATTTTCATATTTGAAATTACGAAATAAATAATAACCTTTTTGTTGCACCCTGTATAAGTAAGAGTCGTGCACCAGGAGGCGAAGGCGGATTTGCCGCGAAACGGATATGTGGCGGGCGGCGCAGCAGTGTTGCTGCTGCTCCTGCAAATAGCGGGAGCAATGGCAGCGTTGCTGCTCGCGAGCCCCGGGTCGTACAAAACCGCACGCGCGTCGCTCACCCACGCAACCCGCAACAGGTAGATCATAAATGGAAATTTTCACAGTATTCTCCGTCTATATAGGTGTAACAACTAATCTGGTTGAATGAGGCGGTTCAGCTCATGAACACAGAATATAAACAACTTTCGCACAAAAAAGTATGGTTCCCTATAAAGACTACGCACGATAAAAATGATTTATAATAACGAATATAATTTTTTTTTGAATGCTAATGTATTCACGCGACCATGTGAAATATGCTAGTCTTAGTTGCACTTGGTGTAGCTAAGATGAGAATTTTGTTTTTGAAGCCTCACCGGCCGCGGCGTGTCGGCCGACCCGCGCAGTCACCGCGGCTACACGTACGACAGCGTCGCGTCCGCGCCCTCGGTCCCGAGGACGTCGTCACACTCGTCGTAACACTACACCGACACTGATATTGTTATTGTCTAAGACCTTAGTTCCCAAAGTGGTCCAGGTGGACCACCAGGGGTCCACGGGAAACTCGACGGGAGTCTGCGTTGGCGTGACAAAAAAATGTGGGTTCACATTTCGTATGCGTGAAGAACTAAAATGATAATATTTTAAGAAGCTCAGCGACTGTTACTTGTAAAAACTTGCATATTCCATATTCAGTACGACGTGTCTTTACTTTTTTGACATCCAATCACAGCACAATCAATTAAATTCTCACTTTTTTTTCGAAAACTATTAATTTGTGGTTGGAACTCAGGAATTTGCGTTGCAAATTTCCATAGTTGGATCTAATCTTCACATTTTTTGTCGAGTTTTGGGAATATGGTAGAAATGTAGCTGCAGGGTGTCCACCGGAACCAGCTAAATTTTGAAAGTGGTCTATGAGAGAAAACGTCTGGGAACCTCTGGTCTAAGACATTTGTATATAACTATGAATAGATAGGTCAATTTATCTAATAGCGATTAAAATTAAATGTTATAGTTGGTTTAGTTGTTAACTGTCTCAAAAAAATATTTCTGTGAACCGCCTTTAGGTGGTCCTGTTGTGATTGTGAAAAGAAATTTATAAATATATATTTTTTAATAAATTATAATAAAATAATATAATAAATTTTTTGAGAAATTAGTTATAATCTTTGACTAGGGAAAAGGGAGTAGCGCGAAGGATGCAGCACGTCGAAATTCCAAAGAAAAGGCAGGAATGAATAGTTCAACATTTATTAATAGTTATATATAGTACATTTGAAATTGAAAGTCGTGTGTCGTGGCCACTGCCAGGCCGAGTCGAGCCGCGACGTGCAAAAATATATAACTGTGCAGTGAACCGCGCACGCGCCACCGCCGCGCCCGCCGCGCCCAGCTGTGCCGCGGCGGCCGGCGTCAGTGGGCGGGTGGCTCCTTTTAAGCTTACGTACATCACATACAACAATGTATTAGTAGTTTGTATACATATAACTATACATATAGTATTTAATTTGAATATTTCCTACAACGTCAACAAAATATAGGAGCGAGGGCGCTGTGGCGCCTCGCTATGATATAAAGTACTCTACTCATCACACCATGATATGACATTGCGTTTCGTAAAATGTTAAATATTATATTCACCATTACGTTCTCTCTTATTATAATATACATTGGAGACCAGGGACAGTTGCGCGCGCACCGCCACCGGACACGTGCCCGCACTACAGGCAATACAAATGGCAAGGTCGCCTGTCGCGTTGAAAGAGCACGGCATTGAAGCGGTTGTTCTCGAACAGTGGTACAAGATTCGATATTAATAAGTCGGCCGTAGCTCCTTTTGGCCATGCTCGCTCCGAGTCCTCTATACATTGATATATTTATTTACACACGCGGGTCTGTCAATGTAAAGTGTGTGCCCACTTCTAATTTCCTTACGAGTTCCCACTCACTCAAGTTTCACATTTAGCTCCAATGCAAAACTTGAAATTTATAAAATTGAATTAACAGGAGGTAGCGTGTCCTAAAATATACTCCTTACGTAAAAACGAATTTCTCGTATTTATTAATATGTCTAAGTAAGAACAACAACAACATAACAAGTCGCTTCAGTAGTGGGTTGGCGGATTTGTGTTAGGGTTATTTATCGGTGCAGTAAGTAATCAAAACATGTTCTCACTTGACAATGTCGGTGAAGTCAAAGCTCTACTTACTGCTGGTTTCGTACGAGCCCGCCACATTGGCGTCACTTTAGCAGCCACACCGATAGAGACTTTATTATACCTAACAGTATCTACATAGTATGTATTAAATCATAGTGGAAATAATGCGGCGACGGTTGTACAGTCTTCGAAATACGCAGTCGCTCGCTTCGGCGGGCAGCCGGTAGGTCGACCCGCCGCGGGACGCCGTCCACCGCGGCCTGCGGGTGGCGCCGGCGAAGAGCGAGCCGCCGGTCAACCGAGCAGACGGCGGTCGCAGCACCAAGCGCGCGGCCGTGGCGGCAGCTGTCGGGGCACTAGCTTATCTGAAGGAGGGCTGCTGCGGCTGGGGCTGCTGCTGCTCGGCCAAGAAGGGATTGGTCGGGCGCGCGCCCGGCACGCCCAGGCTGTCGCCGCCCGCGTAGCTCTGCGACAGGTGTCCGTGCGTTAGTTTGGAGAGATCCGCGCTTTAAGCTGGAGGGCGGGTCCGCCCGGCGTACCTGCGTGGCGCCGTAGGAGTCGTGGTGCGACAGGTCGTGCAGGCGCGTGGACGACAGCGCGCGCGGCAGCGGGTTGGACGGCACGCCGTGCGGCGCCAGCACGCCGGCCTCGGCGACGGCGCGCGCCTCCTCGTCCACGGCCACGCCGGCGCCCACGTCGGCGCCGCCGTCGCGGAAGTTGACGAACGCGAAGGCCGCCAGCGCCGCGGCGCACAGCAGCCCGTAGCCCGCGAAGGTGCGCGTGGTGCCCCAGCGCGCCACGGCCACGCCGCCCAGCACGGCGCCGCAGCCGCGGCCCAGCCCGTGGTGCAGCCCCTGCAGCACGCCCTGCGCCGACGACCGCAGCCCGGGCGGCGCTGCGTGCGCGATGTACGAGCAGCACGCCGCCCACACCGCCGCGTGCGTCACGCCCTGCACGAACTCGAACGGCAGCACCCACCACGGGTTGGTGAGCCACGCGATGTACAGGAACCGCAGCACGTTCCCCGCCAGCCCCAGGCACAGCACCTGCCGCACGCGCCCGTTAACGCTCGACCTCCGCGTCCTCGCAGCGGTCCGACGGAGCGCACGCCGTCACCCGCACTCACCTTCACGTGACCCATTTGCGTGATCAATTTGAAACTGAAGAAGTAGGCGAAGATCTCCGAGATGTGGTTGATCACTGACGCCACGCCGAATAGCGTGGGCGATCCGCCGATGTCCTGAAAGAGTTGCTCGTTTGTATGTCGGTAATCAACGTTTTCGAGTGAGCACCTATAAAGAAATAACTAAAATATGTAAAGAAGATCGAACGCTAGTGACCTGCAAATGCCAGAAGAGAAAAGTAAAAATAAGGCCGATGCCGAAGCCCATGAACCATGCGACGAGCAGGAAAGAAGCCGCCTTCACGTTCTGGAACTGGCGCAGCACCGTCACCCACTCCGGCATCTCGCGAGTCGTTTGTGCGAATACCTGCGCGCAAACGGAAGGCGGTCAGCCGAGCGAGCCGACAGCGGCGGTGGTGGAGGCGCGGGGTGTGACCTTGGCGTGCTCGAGCGCAGGCTGCGGCGCGGGTGCGCGTGTCACTGTCGGCGCGCTCGTGTCCAGCCCCGGCAGTTGCAGCTGCTCGGCCAACTGCTGCTGCAGCTTCTCCTCGTGAGTCGGCTCCGCGGGCAACGTCAGCGGCGCTGCCGGCTCCAGGCTCACGAATTCGTATTTGAATTTTATCTGTACAGTGACACATCTGCAACTTAACATCTAACCGGTAATAGTAACTACGCCTAATATTATATTCACTAAAGTATTAAACTAGCTGTTGTTCGCTACCTTGTCTGCATACAATTTTCATATTATAATGAGAAAAAAGACATATTTAAAATTCACAATATCTGAACGTATAGTCCCCTAATTACACTTTGAACAAAACAAAAACTAGTCGATATATAAATCAATTTTAGTTTTTAAACCTTGATTTAGTAAATATTTATGTAGATTATAGAATGTTTTTATAGCCTTTTTTCAAATTATATTGTACAAAAATTAGGCCTTTTGTTAAACTATCTTGATTTCGGTGGTAGCTGAATTCGATGGATCAAATATGTCATTAACAAGTTCTTAGGTTTTCGCGATTGTTACACATAGGAAATGAAACTATTTTTCCGGATTTAAATCGCGTATATTTGTTTCTTCAAACAAACCGACGTTTCGGGCCCTTTACAGGTCCCATGGTCACGGTTACCATGTCCGTGTACAACTACTGAAGAACTTCTAAAATAAAATATTGGCCATGATTTTCGCATGGGCAATATATGTAGAGCTTGCAGCACAATATTGCGCATGCAAAAATCAATTCGCACGTTTTAGTGTTATTTAATAATAATAACGCACACACTCAAGGTAACCCCGCACTAGGGAGTCCCTGTGTCGCGAGTGCCATTGACGCACACATAGACAACCACAAATTTTCTTCCAAACACACGAGAGAAATAAATGTAGGCCATGCAAATATATCAGAGTTCCCGGCCCGGGAATCGAACTTGGGACCTCTGCGTGGCAGTCCGGCATGGTAACCGTTTGGCCACGGAAGCAGTTTAATTGCTGCTAGTTCTAAAGTTTGCACTGGAACTTGTAGTTGTCAGTGCAACTCAGATCTTTAGGGGAAACTGTAACCTTTTAATATCAAATTCTTAGATAATCCGATGGTATAAATGATACTCGTGGTATGAATATAGATCACTCTCGGCAGTGTCAGATACGGTTGTAGTTTATCAGCTGTCTGGCGCTGGTGCCCAGCTCAGGGCCAAAAGTAAAAAACCAAATTTGAGCCTGTCAAGGTAACAAAAGAAATAAAAAACTATAATACCTACAAAGTAAAAAAAAATCCAAAGAATGTCTGAAAACCACCTTTTCTTAGATCACGTATGAAATGAATTCTTTTTAAGATATCGTCTTGAAACAAGTTAAATGTTTCGTTTTACGTTTTTGGTAATCTGTTTTTGAAATGTGTAATAAAACGTGAATTGTTGATACGACATTTGTTCACCTACAATAAATGTATTTTTATAGAGTATTTCACCCTCTTACTCCCAAAAAGCGAATGACAGGGATTTTGCACATTCGTAGAAAATGCGAAAATCTCTTTCATTTTCATCACAAAAGGACTATGCAGTGAAAATTTCATATTGCTTAGATGATTAAAATGATACCTGTGTTGCCGTTATAAGTGCGGCTCCCATGAGCACGGAGAACGTGGCGAAGCAAATGGTGTAGTTCTTCTCGTAGCGCTGCGGGCCGCCGCAGGGGTGCGAGCTAAAGGCCGTGCTGTGGTCGAGCGCGATGCCTACGAAGAACATAGCCAAACCCCAGCCCAGCGAGCCGAACATGCGCTGGTGGCCGTACCTGCGCGTGATGGGCCGTGTATAACACACACAGGTCAATATCTAACATATCTAACGCGATTTTACTAACCTGTCAGCGTCCTCACCGAGGAGCGTAATGACAGCGGAGTCGGCGAGCGTGATGGCCGGCGCGCTGAAGAATTCTCCGATCACGACCAGCAACAGTAGCAGGAAAAACGTTTTCTGAATATCTGGGGTGCGGTATACGATGGAAGAGTGTAACGGTGTCACCCAGTTGGAGTGTTGCGCGGGGTCGTAGTTGGTGGCGTCGGAGACGGGGAGCGGTGAGCCATCGCGGCCGGCGGCTGAAGGCCCGCGGAAGGCGCGCGTGGCCAGCGGCTCGTCCTCGTCGTAGTTGGGTGGGCCCAGCTCGTAGGCCGTGCTATTGTACGGGCGCACGCAGGCCACGGCACCCGGTTGCACCCAGCTTAGCGGCAGCGTGAACACCACCCACGCACCCAACGACGCTAGCAAAAGCGTGCGCCCCTTCTGCCAGCGGTCCGCCAAACCGCCCCAGAAGGGCGCCGAAAGGAACTCGACGAAGGGCCGCGTACCGATCAGCAACCCGCACTGGCCGGCGTTCATGCCCATCTGCTTGAAATACACGCCCATCAACGGGAACAGCGACCCGAACGCCGAGTAGAAGAAAAAGTAGAACGTCTTCACTGTGAGTAGCTCGGGGTCGACGGCGTCTGGACCGCACATCATCTCTAGCAAGTCACTGCGCCCCCGCACCTTGTGCGTCGACTCCTTCGGCGCGGGGTACCTGCGTCGACATCGGGAACGTTGTCGTTACCATAATTCACTTGCAATATGCTATAACGTCTGTAAAACCTGAGCACAGATGCAAATTAAAAGTTTGTAGAAATCAGATTCCAATCGCGTAAGCGCAGTGTAGTGAAATTTGTGTGCAATCTTAATAAATAAAGACTAATTAGATCAAGAGGATTCATCGCCTGCGTAAACAAATTTATTCGATTTTGATTATAATTTTACAGGCCCTCAAAAACGGTAAGGCGAACAAAACCTGGGTATACTGTTTCAGAGAGGAGATATTCTCAGATTTCGGTCTCCTGCGAACGAGCGTGATTATAATGGTGTCGGATTGTAGACTGGACTAGAAACATTAGGGAGCGGTGTTGGCATCGTTGCCTCTTCCGCTTGTACCGAGTGTCGGCTAAGTACTTTATTATTAAACGAGCGGACTACGTCTACCGAAATTCAAAGCGAGCGAGTAAGCCCTGCGAGGAACGAAGTGGTTATCGATCCGCCTGACTGGACACCGTCATTAGAAGATCTGTGCTCCGCAGTCGGGAACGCAAATCTGCGTGGCTGAGCGAGTGAAAGTGGCGCACCTGGTGGTGTCCACCTCGCCGTATTCCTCGGGGTTGACGAGAGGGCGCGCGCCGGGCGCGCTGGGCACGGGCGCGCTTTGCGGCGCCTCCATGGTGCTGGCTGGCCGCGAGAGCGCCGACTGCCGCGGGCGGCCTCTCGCGTCGCGCCCGCCCTCCAGCGGCCGCCCCGGCGTCGATAGGCTCGCGCCGGCGCGCTGCGGACTGCGCCGCGCAACACGCGCTATGCACAAGAAGCGGAAATCGTCGCGCATAGAGCGGTTAGCTACAAGAAACAAATAACCTGAGTAGATTGTAATGAAGTTTCGTCCTATGCAATACTTAACGTTAATCGCAACAGCTCATGCCTTTATAGTTTTGGATAAAATAAACAGGTACATTTCGTAGTCGTTACGTCATTTGTGCAAATCAAGTTCAATATCAACTTAATTTTGAGTGGTTTATGAGCTAAATCAACTTTTTTTTTAATATTGGTATTTTATATAAAAACGCTATTTGAAAGTGTTTAAGTATTGTCGCTACATAGTCTGTTACAATTTTTATTGAAATGTAAACTAAAATTCCAATTTTTTTCGAATGTAAGTGTAATAAGCAGTGATCGGAATTGAGGGAGTTTTTATACCTAAAGTTTGAACGTTTTCTTAGTATGGACATACCCATTTCGTGATATGATCAAAAAATATCCCGGGATACGTATTACTTGAACTAATTTAAATTACTATTGAATAAATTCATAATACTACTGAATAAAATTAATATTGTTGTATTACGTTTTATTTATACGTAGGTATTTATTTATAATAATTATAGTGTTTAGTTTGACTCACTAAAGTAATTGTTCTTTCAAAAGGAGAAATATATCTAAGATCGGTACAGAATGTGTAGCAGTCTTCGCTGATGCTGTTATTAACATAAACATAAGTACTACATACATAAAATGGTAAAAACAAGATGTTCGTCACACAAAATAAAAATTTTTCAAGTTTTTATCAGACTTCGTTGTGGTCAAACGGACACTTTGATGAGTTTTTTTTAAGATGAACTGCCAAAATGAGGTGATGCAATTTCGGTGAAAAATGGTACATTTATATGTTCTGGTTCCGTATTGAAATATTTGACTTGGTAATTTAAACATAATCGACCTTACTAACCAACATTCTGGTATTAAAAAAAACCAGAAAATTAAACTAAAACTAAACAACCTTTGCCCTTTGTTAAATATCGACGGTTTTTATAGTTTATCTTATCTTGTTTCTGTACTGTGTAAAAGAGATAACAGTTACGGCTTTCCACGTTGTGTGAAAGAGAAGCTATTACTTATTTCTGCAGCGAAATATCCGTGCAAAAAACTCTTGTAAAATCTTTTGCTGAGTGCGCACGTGTTGTGAAACTAAAGTGTTGACCCCGGCTTGTTATTTTGGAATTTCACCGGCTTTGTTTGACAACTACGGCTTGATTTTGTGGGCTGTACTACAAACGAATTTGATATTTGCTATTTTCTTATCTTCAGTGTAAAAATATTTGCAAATTTAAATTTGCTATCTAAACTTTTTTTATTTATATTTTATGACTTTATTAATAAATAATACAACGCACTATTGCATTTTAATTATGTAACTTGCAAAGTAATAAAAGAAGTCAAAATTTTTGATGATTTGATTATAAAAATGTTGAAAAGTATCATGATATGCCGGTTATTATTGCATCATATTACAAAACAAGACAACACCGAAATCCCTGCTTTAAAAATGTTTTATGAGGGTTAACTTTATTATCCCTGTTGTTGACATTCAAGTAAAAACGCCTGATAATATTGAACCTAGCATAATTTCTCCATTCAAATCCATCTAAAAAGACCACGTTACCACCATGTCGGCGTGGTGCCAGAACGTGCGATGATAAGAAAGCGACAAAGGGTGCCGCGTGGTGAGACAAAAATCTTTTTTTGTTAGTTTCTAAAGCTAATCTCATTGTCTGAGTGATAACTGGAAAAAAGAGCGAACGAGACAACATACCTGCTTGCGTGCAGTTACATGTAACCCCATTAAGTACAATTTTTGTAATTGTTCTTATTCGATGTTGTGCTTGTCATGCGTTCGGGTGTTATTTTGAGTTTTTCTGTATTTTCTGACAACTTGGCTATCTCACAACGGTTTTTGATTTGCATTGCGATCTGGATTTTGATTTTACTTAAAACGACGACTTTACGCTACGAATCCCTGAACCAGCTTTTACCTGCGACTTGGACTTCATATTTATTTCACTTGCAAGGTAAGAATGAATTTTTTATTATTTATTGTTGAATTTTTAGTTAGACAATCTTTTTAATTAGAATTATTTAAAAAAAGTGGGAAAATACGGCAGAGTTTTAGAGATAAAAAATTAAAATAAATATTTAAAAATAGTAATTCACCCTGAATCTAATAAAGTTACCGAGGTTCGTAAAAATGTGCTAATAAACAGATACATTTAAACTACGTATGTAATATTTACTTATAATGTTTTTAATTTTAGTATAATTTTTTTCTTTTAATTTATCCAGAAAAAAATTACACAAATTACAAAATTATATATTTTTTCTATAACACTGCAATTTTTAATCGTTACACCTATAGGTTTTTGGAATAAAAAGCAGATTTCCGAGAAAAGACCTCAGTAATACCTATACCGTACAGTAGAATACCTATTTAACTTAAAAAAATGATTATGAAGAATGTGTAATTCTACATGTTAAAGAAGAAAATTATTAATTTTATTTTTAAAAGATCTATCTCGTTTCATAACATCCAGATATAAAAGTACCTTCATAAAAGTGACTACCCTGAAAAAAATTATAATTGAATATAACTTCTGAGTTTTACGATATTTGCGTGTGGTATTTTTATGATGAAATGAAAAATATGAGACCTCAATAATAATATAAATATCTTTTCCAAAAACGGCGGGCTTTAGAGAGAAAAAAAAACAAAAAAAATTAGGCACGCTGAATCTAATAAAGTTACGAACTTCGTAAAAGATCTTAAAAGTGCAACTTAAGACGTACTTTTTAACTATGTATACGGCTATTTAGTAGTAAAATTCGACTAGTTCTAAGCGCGCGTTAGCAAAACGCGCGTCGAACGCTCCTAAGAGAACAGGCTCTTAATTTACCAACTATGTGTTTAAAATGTATTTTTGTGAAATAGGCAGTTATATAATTAAGTACTTTTAAAAACTCTGTTTCAAAATGTTTTGACATGGTCATTAGCAGCTTTTTTTTATTTTAGGTATTATCACTATGGAAAATAGACCAAGATCAGAGCTGGTTTATAGCTGGGTTGTCGACTACCCAGAACTGGTTTACGATCCCGCAAGTGGTATCATATTTTGTACAATATGTGAATCCCACATAAAAGCTACTCGTAAAAGCAACGTAGATCGGCACATCATAAACGCACTTCATACAAGACGACGAAAAAGAACCCCGGATGAGTTTTATTTTGATTTAATAGAATTTTTAATATTATGTAACATACCTTGGACACAAGTGAGTAACCCAACGTTACAAAAATTTTTCAACAAGTATATATGTATAAAATGTTGTTGTACTTGCTCAAATAAGGCAGTACCTTCAGAATCATTGCTACGGAAACAATATTTTAACAGATTTTTTCAAACACAATTAAAAGCTACTTACGATGTAATCGGAAACAACAAGATTTGGTTATCACTTGACGAATCCACGGATTTTTTGGGAAGATACGTTGTAAATTTATTGGTGATGCCACTTATACAAAATGTGGCTACCAGACCATATTTAATAGCTTGTAAAATGCTAGAAACAGTGAACAGTATAACTATGTCCGATTTTGTAATAGAATCTTTAAGAAATATGTGGGGAGAATCATTTGAAGAGAAAACAAGTAATGTGTTAATGTTATGCACAGATAGTGTGGCATATATGTTGCGAACTGGACGCCTATTAAAAATTGATTTTCCTAACATTATTCATATAACGTGTTTAGCTCATGCTCTTAACCGATTGGCAGAACAAATTCGTTCACAATACGAGAATGTTGATTCCTTAATATCCAATGTCAAAAAGATATTTCTGAAATCCCCAAATCGGGTCAGAATTTTAAAAAACATGTATCCAAACTTGCCGCTGCCTCCACAACCTGTAATTACAAGGTGGGGCACGTGGCTAAAGGCAGCAACATACTATGCTACACATTTTAGAGAAATATCGAATGTTTTAAACAGTCTTAACAGCAATGAGTCTATATCAATTAAAAAAGCAAAAAGAGTCATACGAAATGAAAATATCGTATCAGAGCTTAATTTTATTAATGAATATTTCACAATAATAGACGAAGCACTTACTGAAATACAAACAAAAAAAATATCAATAATTGATTCATTTTTAATTTTTGATAAAGTCAGGTCTTGTTTAAGTTGGACCTCAAACGAATTAATAAATAGTAAGATAGAAAAAGTACTAGATCGAAATCCCGATTATGATGTAATTAGAGAAATAGGTGAAAAAATTGTGAAGGGAAATGAAACAGATTACGAAAATTTTTTCAAATTTGCGCCTCTTACGTCTGTGGACGTTGAGAGATCTTTCTCAACCTTCAAGTGGATATTAAATGTAAAAAGAAATAGACTTAAAGAAGAAAATATAGAAAAAATAATGATTATCTATTTCAATTCTTTACAAGAAAGGGAAACAGATCTAGTACAGGAAGAATGATAATTTTTCCTCTTTGAAGCATTTACCCCTAGCGCAAGCCATACAGAACTGGCTTCTAACGCTGGCATGGCGCGTGCGTCTTCTCGATCGATTCAAATTTCATGCTTATCGAAATAAGGAGCAAATTAAAAATGCGTGAGGAGTGATCCGCCATTTCAGCGCACGTGCTCTATTGCTGTCATGTGTGTTTTGTCCAGTTTGTGTGGTTTGCGCCTAGGGTGTCGATATCCTCTTTAAATATGTTCCTGACTTTTATTACAGTTGATTTCGATTTTTTGTTAAGCTATATTTTATTTTTATAAATGAGACATGAGTAAAATATATTTTAAATATATATAATTTTATTATTTTATTTTGTATTAATTATTCCCAAGTCCAACTTTTTATAGACGAAACTA